GGAACCAAGCCAGTTCTTTGTCACTTGGTGTACATCGACACAGCTAGAAGAACCTGAAAGCCTCCTATCTCTCCTAAGAAGCTTACACCATGGCTGTGCTCAGAGCAAGCAAAGTGACTCCCCAAATTAGGGAATTCTGGCTATGAGCTGGGGGTATTGCATTTTTGTCCCCATGAGTGATTTGTTCCATGACCCTGATAGCTCCCACTATTAATGGAACCAGATGGCGCTGAGTGGCCCCGAACTGCAGAATTTTGCTGAGCACATCTGTCAGAGACAGCAGAAGTGTAACTTACATTCATGCTGGTCTTTGAGTGGTGGCATTCATTGTGCCAGCTGACATTTAATAAAGATCATTCCAATAATCCTCCATTTAGTTTGGTGGCTATTAAACACATCAGTTTCACAAAAACTAGGTTTTCTTGTAGCCAACCCTTCTCTAAGACATTGAAAAGTAAGGACATGCTGCTGATCTAACTGGTTGACTGTTGTCTAGTTAAGAACTACACACCTGCAGTTATCGGAGCAAACCTATGCTATAGATCTGAGTCTCTCAGTTACATGTCCTTTAGAACAGGAACCCACATGAGAGGTGTCTCCTGCTTCCACCACCTCGTCATTTCCTGTCTTTTGCCACATTCTGTGCTGTAAATTTAATTTACAAAGAGAGAGATGAGAGGGAATACTGATTCTGCAAACCGAACAGAAGGATTGGTTCTATATGCGATACTTTGTTTCTTTTATGTTTCTTGTGACTGGGAAAACAGTGGTAGAGGACGTAGGAAATGTACCTGAGTTGTGTACATGTGGATGAGCTGATGTTTGCAGTGACTTGGAGATGTGAACATAAGATGGAATGTGCCATTCAAGTGTGAGTCCAGCAGTCATGTCTTTTTTTCATTCTTTTTGTATTGCAACTATGTTTAGCATATCATGTTTTGGTTGAGATGCAGCTTTGGAGCTCTGTAATGTGACTTGTTATGTATTCAGAACAACAAGGGTCGGGTTTTGCATTTTTATTTTTTTTTCCTGGCATAGAAAGGCATCTGCCAATTAGTCTGAAACTTTCAGGGATCCCCTGCTGTTATTTCTCCACCATGAACACCTCATTAAAGTTTATTCAAAGTTAGCGCTCCATGTTGAGTTGCTGGAACGCTGAATTGTTCTTTCCACTGGGACTTGCTTGATTTGAGTGAAGAGAGCACAGCTCCCTGCCAGTGTGCCCAGCATACCAGTGACTTGTGATTACAAGCATGAGGGAATAGTGCAGGGGCTACCAGCAAGCAGCAGCTTGGCACATCACACTCTTCATGCGTTTTCTGGTGGCTGCTATCGAAAATCCTTCTGTCATCTGGGAATACATGCACAGACATTTCACAATTAGTAACATGTATAAATCCTTCAAAGTGATTATTAGGCAGTGCATATTCATGTGACTGCCATAAAGTTTTTAATGCAGGGAGGTTGGACTAAATGACCTTTACAAGGCCCCTTCTTACTCAAAATGCTCTATGATTCTAGAATGCTAGGTGCACATATTTGTAGTGTTTGAATAGTAGAAAATATATTAATTCTCTGGTATTTTATATAGTATATTTTATATACTCTGGGTGTATTTTTTCCATTTTCCTTAGACATATGGGTAAACATACTGCATGGGTGTTCCCCTGGAAAGAGCAAGTATAAAGAAATTCCCCTTTCATTTATGTGGATAAATGAGTGTTTTCACATTAGTGGGTGGAAGGGAAAAGCTTAAAAATTTTTTGTCCATAAATTATATTGCAGTTAGCACAACCACTTTTGTGTGTGATCCCTGAATTTACGTGTGTGGCAAACTCCGAGGTGAGATGACCCAGATCTGATGGCACTCTTGTATCAGGGTGAAGCAGATGGACAGCGGCAGCTCCCCAGGCAGCCACACTGCTCTTGTCAGTGGAAGTCAGCCTGAGATCAGAATCTGAAACATTTACATATTCTAGATAAGAAGGTGCAACTTAATATTTCATGTTGCTGGTTTTGAAGGAACTGTCTCAGCTGTGTTTCTATTTGTTCTGTTTTCTACTGTCTCTTTTTCTTGTGCTCTGAAGTACAAGGAAAATCTAAGCCAAGACATTATTGTACAATAAAAGGCTATCTGGTACCTAAGAATGGGAAAAGAAACTTACTCTGCATGGTCCATCTGTTGCTAGTGGGACATACAGGTGGATCTCTGCAATAAATTACTGCCAGGTACCTCAGGTATTCTCTGAGGAAGAAAACTTTCTGAACTGAATTTTCAACAGTGTTTTTTATTGTGGAGGGTTCTCCTCTGTTTGTGATAGATAGCAAGTAAGCTAATGTGATGAAATGTTATCCTCTTTGCCCTTTTCAGGATCTTGGTTTATTGCAATGGAGCACTTGCATAAACTTGTGTCACATAGGCATTTTTTCAGGTGTTGCTGAATAAAAATAGCTTCAAATTGCCAAGAAGTGGCTGCTGGGTTATGAGCATGAATTTCATAAATCTTTTTATCTAAATTAAAACAAAATCAAGAGAAAAGCTGACAAGAACTTTGTTAAAACAAACAAAACCACACCAAAAAAGTGTGTTAGGCTGTTTTTAAAAAAAAAAGTCTTTGGTTGGCTGTGATGGGTATTGTCAACCTGAAGTCCATGAGTACTAGATTTTCTTTCCAAACAGAAGGTGCCTTCTAAATGTAGACAAGGAATTGGACAAATCAATTAGCCAGAATAAATAATAAAATGTTGCTTGTAGGCATAAGGCAAGGCTTCAGTCCAACAGTACTTTAGTTAGGCAGATTTTTAAGGGAAGATAAGCTGATACAAACATTCTGCAGTAGATTGAGTTAGACACCAGATTACAATTACAATTCTTTTATGGTAGCAAGCAAATTACTGCAGCTCTAGACTTCTATTTGCCATACATGAAGACAATGAGATAGTGTTTCTTACTTTCAGGAGAGAAGTGAACATTGTTTCTCAAAAATGTCTTGTGTTTCATTTATTCCTATTGTATGGGGGTTTTTTGGGTGGTGGGTGGGGGGTTAAGATAGGTCATTTATAAGCATCTTTTTGGAATTGTTTTCATGGCACAAAAGAAAGAAACAAAGGTCTTTGCTTGAGTCTCAAACTGGAATTCTTGCACTGCACATTTGAGCAACTTTATTCTGTCATTTAGTTTAATGGAAGGGTTTGCACAGGAAATTTTACTTATTTTATAGAGAAACTGAAGAATTTATTTTATCATATAGGTTATTTCTACACTTAACTGCTGGCACTCCATTACTGTGGATCTTATTAATGTCATGTTATGTGAATTTTAAAAATTTCTATAAACTATATATTTTTTATTGCAAATGGTTAGGATTTGGTTTTGTATTGATGGACTGTATTAAATCTTCCAAAAGTGGGAATACATGTTTGTAAAATATTACTGAACAAACAATTGTAATCTCCCTCTTTTCTTTCTAAATATATCCTCCACTTTTACCAGAGGTAACAGAAACATTATGCTAAAAGAATTCGAGCTAGTTGAGACCACCTCCCATTTCTAGGTTTGTGTTTATTTTGGTCATATTGAATTTGAAGCAGAAACTCTCTCAGGGCAGGAATGCAGTCCAAGAGCCTGGATCCAGATGTTGTGCTTTCCTTCCATACCAACCTAGGCCTCTGAGGCAGAGATCTCCCTCTCCAAAAACAAGACTTGGACAAAGTGCAAACGCCTCATTTCCTGAAATCTCATTGTTTAGGCCAACAAACAGGCAGGTCAACATGCAGGTTGCAGAACTGAAACTGAACACCACCTCAGTTTCCCTGGATCAATGAAGTGTAATTTGAGGCTTGTGGTTGCCTGTCTAGCTTGGAGAACCAACACAGAGAACAAAGGCTCAACACTGTGGCCTTAAGATATTTGAGCAGTGGAAGAGTGTTGCTGCTGTTCCCTTCTGCTGGCTTTTGGCTCAGGGCTGTGCTCTTTATGTAGGCTAGGTATAAATTTTTTGTGATGGTTATGCCAGAAAATTCTCCTAGAGCAGAGGCAGCTTATGCTGGCCCTAGGTAGGTTAGTTGAAGAAGAAAAACAAAACAACAACAAAACAAAACCCCAAACCAAGGAAAGAAAAAAGTAATTTGAGTTCTGCAGAGGTTCACATAGGCTGTTTCTTACAACAAAACTTCTTGGTCTGACTGTCAGTCTCTCTGTAGAATCAAGTCAGCAGAGCCTTTAGTGAACACTAAATGGAAAACTTGGCACAAGTCTGGCACTAGATGCAGATTGAAGAATAGCAGATGTTACTGGTTGTGATGCATGTGGCATTTTCAGCAACTTGTATGAAAGGTTAGAGCCCATAGCTTCTGCCCTTGGTGGGAGATGGTGCACACAAATGTGGGCTGTCTTGGCTGGAATGCTGTTGTGGTGTGGCTGCTGCTTTTTGGACAGGGAGCCTTTTTTGGTCAGTAGAAACTCAGGCTCACAGCATTTTGTTTAGCTGCAGTTCAGGGTGTTAATTTATAATTAGGCTTCACTGGTAGGTAATCAGATCCATACTTTTAGGGAGTGTGGGGTTTTTTTGCATGTTTTTACTGAAGAGCTCATTAGAAGTTGATGGGAGTTGAGTGCATCTCAGCCCTCAGTTGTGCACCTTCTCCTAAAGCACCTAATTCCATTGATTGGGGTGTTTAGTGACAAGAAATACTGTGTCAGCAGGGCCTTAATTATTTAATCTATCTAACCACAGCATGAGTGTTATGAGTAATGCATGGAGGTAGATAAAACTCTTACATCTTGTCTGAGAAAGAGCACTGGGAAAGGAAAAAGGTAGTTTTTATTAGTAAGTATGTGCAATATTGTACAATTGCTGCTTGATATTTGCCACATAAAATATATGCCACACCATGAAAATAGTTAGAAATTTATCTGTCAGTTTGCTCAAGTGTGACTGAACTCTAATACAAATGTTAAATATCATATGTAATTTATATATTTTTCTGCTCTTTTGTAGATTATATCATCTTACTTAAACTGTGAGGCAAGAAAACTTCTTGAAAAGTAATAATTCTACAGGTAAGAACTGAGTTAACTAATTTCCTTTTTATAAAGAATATTGTTGTTAATAAGCACCGCCATAAAGTAAACACAGAAGTGTTCACTCTTAATGAGCTACACTTTGAAAAGCTGAAGAAAAAACCATTTGAGATGCTCACAATGATACAAGCAGGATATTTGACAAAGACAGATGTCTTTCTCAAGTTTGAATGATGTAAGTATTTTGAATACATAGTACCTAGGATGTCTGTTAGGAAGGGATTTGTAAAGAATTGTCTTCTGACAGAAAAATGGGAGCCAGTTGAGAAAGTGGCTGTAGGTAATGGGCACGCAGACACCAGGTGCTGGCAGCATGACTCTGGTGCAGGGTGCTTGTCATTGTCTATCTCATATTTCCAGATACCCACTGGGAGACCTAAACTTCGTGTGCAGGAAATGTCCCTAGTCCCCTTGGGGTTATTGCTAAATAATAGCATGCTTGGCAAGTTAAGCTGTCATTCTTTGACTGATGTCTCCCCTGGGGTAAACAAGAGGTAGATCTGCAGAGCAAAAAGTCATCAGCTCTTTGTTTAAACAATCTGCTAAAACTCCTGCCTAGTGCTTAAGAAACCAGGATTTGAGTGTTTTCAGGAGGACTGTTGAAAGATTAAATAATTAATCATTTCATAATGGGAAAACTCCCACTTTGCTGGAGATGGTGTTGTAAAGCCTTATAGTCAGAGCTGTTGTAAAAACAAAACAGGAACAGTTTTACCTTATCACATAATGGAGGGAGTTGTGTGTTTTTTACTTCTAATGCGGATTGAGACAGTCTGACAGGTGAGCAGTTCACTCGACCCCAAATAAAGGATGGAAAACACAGAAAATTGATAGATGCTTTACAAAACCTATGATGTCCTTTTAAGTTATGAACTATCAGTCCACTTTTCCAGACCGCTGAAAACTCTGTGAGCTGTTTAATCTACAAAGCCCTTGCCATCTTTTCAGTTTCTTCCTTTTTGTATACATCTATTTCATCTTAGAGCTTACAAACACAATACAGGAAGTTGCTGAAATTGGAGAATTAAACATTTTTCCATATGCAGATAGTGCTTCCTGACTGTACTATATTCTGTTACCTTGCCTCAGCATCATAAAGGGCCTGAAGTTGAGAAATTGTTTAGAAGTTCCTTTGGGTTTACATTCTTGGAACTTTTCCTTGAGCAATTTCATGACTTAATTTGCATTTGGTGTTAGAAAATTTATAAGACTCTGGTGCTTTGTTACTTATACCTAGATCTTGAAGGGAAAAAGAATGAATGCCTGTTAAGTTTAAAATACAGTTGTAGCCTTTTCTTATAAAAATGGATGTGCTAACCATGAAATGCCAGTAAGTTGCATGAAGGTATTAAAAAATAAAAAGCTATGTTATAGTCCAAACATTATATGCAAAATTAATGAAGTAAATATAATCTTTTATATGCTAATCTTTATTTATATAGAAACATGGTATATAAGGACTCTTAAGAATGTTAAAATGCTATTACTTTTCTGTGTTCTGTCCCAAGTCTTTGTTCCCATTCTTACAGAAAATTTGTATTTTTATTATTAGGTGTTTAAACATGTATTGAAATATTCCCTTTAACAAAAATTTTTTAAAATATTGTTTTTTGAGACATTTTAAGGTTAGCAATATATTTACCATATTTAACTACATGATAGAAAGTGCTGTTCCTGCTTGTACAATATCCTAGTTAGTTGCTTATCTGCCTGAATCTGCAAATGAGTACAAAGATAATAACAGAACCAATGTAATTGTGTGGATGTGTACATGGCTTTTGGTTGTACATCTGCATTAATGTAAATGGCTTTATTGCTTCACACTAACGACCTTTCAAAGTGTTTTGGATTACTCTGTGCTTAAAATGCCACCCTGGAGGAAGGCAATACCTTGGACGGATTATATGAAGCTCCTAGTCAGTTCAATCATGCCTGGGGAAAAAGAAATGCCCTAGTAAATTAAACACAGAAAAACCCCATAAGTAGGTCCATGCTTTCTCTGTGTAATTCCTGTACTATTCATTGTTTTTAGAAATATACTTGTGTAATACAAAATATTTGAGCTGGCATACACTGCGTTATAGGCATCTGACTGTAAAATGCTACAGAAGATTGTCCACCCTTTTAGCAGGAATTTTTAAACACCTGACCAATTCAAAATAGCTTTGTAATTTTAGTGATTATGTAAATTCTGCATATCCTTCCTTATGTCATGATTGAAGTCATTCCAGTGGGTTGTACTGGTTGTTTCTATCACTGCTTTACCAATATAAGAAATTGTAATTCAAAGGCTGTATAGGAATACTTAATTTGCATACTGCACTACCATTTGTTACTGGAAAAAAATCAATAATAAATTATAGAAAAAAGCAATAATAACTATGGTGCTTCATGCATTGCATACGTGAGAAACCCATTTCAGCTTGGTTTTACTTTGAGAAGGACTTTAACTTTGTTACTATTATTCTATGAATAATTATTCTATGGACAGAAGAAATAGTCATAATAATAAGCCAGAACATCAAACCTAATAACTTCATCAGAAATAACTTTTTGTTAATGTTTCACATGGAACCAATGCACATGAGAAAAGGGCATGGCAATATACAGAAAATTGTTGCTCTATACCCTGGGGCTTGAAACCATCAGATTAATGAGCTGACTGTTACTTGGGCCCATAGTGAGTTGTGCTAGGGAGCACAACCACCTGAGGACTATTTCTTTTGGGGAGCAGGGACAAAGAGGACAGAGCTAGCTCTCAAGTGGTTTAGTTGTGTAAGCTGCTGTCACAGACTGGGTCATGAAAAAGGCAGAAACAGTCCAGAGGAAATAGAAGGAGGGCAAGGGTGGGATGGGCAGAGGAGAGGAGAGCAGTCCTTCCACTGGCCACCTACTTTCCTCTGATCTCAGCTGTCTCATAGAACTTCTCTTTACAATTTGGTGAGGAATTCTTCTGTCTGATGAGCATGGCAGAATAAAGGGATGAGTGTCTTACTAGTGAGAGTCCTCAAGAAACATTTCCATCCCACTAGCTCCTAAGGAAAATATGCCCCAAGCCTTCCTCCAGTTCAGATATCTTTTAAGGCTTCTGTTCTTCCTCCTTCTGAATCCTTTTGGCAGATTCAATTTACATCATGCTCTGGGGATTTGATTAATTTCCTATTATTGGCCGAGTCTTGCAAACCCCTGCACTCAAGGTTGGCAAAGTGTGCTGTTAAATCTTAGTATAAATGAGTTCTGCTCCTGCACATTCAACTTGTGGCATCTTTACTGTCTGGGACCATCCACCCAAACTGTGTTTGTTTGATAAGTAAGTGACACCATAATGTGAAATTTATCCTATTAGCATAGTGAATAAATTTACTCAGTAAGGAACTTTTAAGTGGTTTTTACCATATGCCTTAGGATCATAATTTAAATTAAATTTGCTTAAAATGGAAATCTAGATTCAAGCTGACATCATAACATATGACTCCACTAGCAATGAAAATTGAAAACATGAGACAAGGACATTAATCACTGAATAGTTTATAAGCTGCCCTGAATGTTCATCTGAAATGTTAACACTATTTTATTATATACAATAGCAGCTTAAAGTGAAAATTTATGAACACTGTGAGGTGCCTAAGATAAGGCATTCGGACACATTTTATTGTACCCTGGCTCAAATCTTTTGAGTCTTTAGAGAAGTGCACGGAACCACTTGTGTGCCTAACTTATTGCTCTTAGTGCAAGCATTACCTCCTCCTTTTACTGGCACTGGAAACGTGAGCAGGATAGTGGGGATCAGATTTGGCAGTCAGGCTTGTGTGAACTCAAATTTGTTCATAGATACCCATTTACAGGAGGAAGTGTTTAATGGCCTCAGCGTGGAAGTGTCTGTAAAGTTTGGGTCATTGTTTTCTGGGGCTTTAATTCTGCATAGAAGTTTGAATTTTTGGTTGGAGTTCTTATAGTAAGTTTTGATTTTTTTTTAATAGATAGCTGCAGTTGTAATGTTGAGTGTAGCTGAATATGGAACATAATAAATGCAGTAGAGCTTATTTGTGCAAAACTGACCAGGCTGTCATCAAAGAGATCTCTTCAGATGACCTGGTGGAATTACCACTTTAAACCAATTCATACTTTCATTAATATTTTGAGTCTTGACGTATTTCATTGATTTTAGGCTTTTGTACGTGGCGTTTTTTAATTAGCAGGTACAAAATCTATTTGATGGTTTGAAAAGGAAGAGATTTAAGAATGTCTTTTTAACTTGATCTCAGATTTTATAATGCTTCATCTGTAATGCTTATCCTTACTTGTGAACTCATCAGTGTAACTCAGAATCTTCAAAATTTGTTGTCATACATAGTTGACTTGGTGGAGTCTGGAAAAACACAAGCTAAGTTGGATTATTAGTTTCCAGACTATCCACTGCTGCTCTTTTGCTGCTCTTTGTTCCTATGTAACTTGAGCCAGTGATTTAAAAATAGATTTAAATGCTTTTATAGGTGAAAGTGAGCTTAATTGATAGTGAGCTGGTTGTAGCTTTTGTATTTTGCTTTACTGGGTAGTTCTAGTAGTAAACTGAATTTATTGAAGTAAATCTATGAAATTACCTTAATTGCCTCATCTCAATAATATTTTTAAGGAACTCCACTATTTGTGCGTTTTTATTTTAATGTAAGGTACGTAGTGCAGCTTGTATATGCATATTGTTTGGAAGCTTTGAATGGCTTGCCTGTCTGATCCATTTTAATAGATTCCAGCCTTTTTCCATGACATCATTATTATAACAGACTTCCTAGAAAATATGAACAGCTGCTGTGTATTTTTTTCCTATGTTTGATATTAAAACTGTAGCAGCTATTCTGTTCTTTACAAATGACAGCGATAGGCTTGTCTGATGTAAAACAAAATGGAAAAAAAGTCCAAGTAAGGAGCTGTGATACTGTTAACAGGCCAGTAATGTAACAGGTCTCCATGTATGAATCATT